CTGGCTGCCCTTCGCGCGGGCGGCCGCCATTGGCTGGATGCCGGTGGCCTCGGCGCCCATGCCCGCGCCCCCGAGGCAGGAGCGCAAGCGGACCCAGGACGCGCTCATCGTGCTCAACGTGAGCGGCACGCGCTTCCAGACGTGGCAGGACACGCTGGAGCGCTACCCCGACACGCTGCTGGGCAGCTCGGAGCGGGACTTCTTCTACCACCCCGAGACGCAGCAGTACTTCTTCGACCGCGACCCCGACATCTTCCGCCACATCCTCAACTTCTACCGCACCGGGAAGCTGCACTACCCACGCCACGAGTGCATCTCCGCCTACGACGAGGAGCTGGCCTTCTTCGGCCTCATCCCCGAGATCATCGGCGACTGCTGCTACGAGGAGTACAAGGACCGGCGGCGTGAGAACGCCGAGCGCCTGCAGGACGACGCGGACGCCGACCCCGCGGGCGAGAGCGCGCTGCCCACCATGACGGCCCGGCAGCGCGTGTGGCGCGCTTTCGAGAACCCGCACACCAGCACCATGGCGCTGGTCTTCTACTACGTGACCGGCTTCTTCATCGCCGTCTCGGTCATCGCCAACGTGGTGGAGACCGTGCCCTGTGGGTCCAGCCCGGGCCACGTCAAAGAGCTGCCGTGCGGGGAGCGCTATGCTGTGGCCTTCTTCTGCCTGGACACCGCCTGCGTCATGATCTTCACCGTGGAGTACCTGCTGCGCCTGGCCGCCGCGCCCAGCCGCTACCGCTTCGTGCGCAGCGTCATGAGCATCATCGACGTAGTGGCCATCCTGCCCTACTACATCGGTTTGGTGATGACTGACAACGAAGACGTCAGCGGCGCCTTCGTCACCCTCCGCGTCTTCCGCGTCTTCAGGATCTTCAAGTTTTCCCGCCACTCCCAAGGCCTGCGCATCCTGGGGTACACGCTGAAGAGCTGTGCCTCAGAGCTGGGCTTCTTGCTCTTCTCGCTCACCATGGCGATCATCATCTTCGCTACAGTCATGTTCTACGCGGAGAAGGGGTCTTCGGCCAGCAAGTTCACCAGCATCCCTGCCGCGTTTTGGTACACCATCGTCACCATGACAACCTTAGGGTAGGTGCTGCGAGGGGCGGTGGGATGGAGGGTGGCGGCGGTGGAGTCGATTGCGGGCCTGTTGAGGTTTCATGGTACTTCAGAGGAACTAGTTTTTTTCTCTATACTGTTTTTTTCTTTCTTTGTTTTTGTTTTTTTTTTTGGTACAGGCAATCGAACTTACAAACTTGTGCTTGCCAGGCAGGCGCTTGTGCCGCTGAGCTATATCCCCGGTCCTAGTTTTTTTCTCTTTGCTAAATGGAATCAGGAAAATATCTAAATGAAATATTGGGCGTCACAGGCCAGTATTTAGTACTGGTGGTAAAGTGATAAATACACAGAGAAATTTTATTACTCTTGAGTAAGAGAAATGTTAAAAATATATGTATGAACCCATGAAATATTGGACGTCACAGGCGAGTATTTAGTACTAGTGGTAAAGTGATAAATACACAGAAATTTTATTACTCTTGAATACGAGAAATGTTAAAAATATACGTATGAACCCATAACAATATAATGACAAGGAAAAAAAAAAAACTATGCCCTAATTAACGTATAAATGTTCAAAGTACAGTGTATTGAGATGTCCGGAAAGTGCCTCAATGCATTCAAATGGTAAGTTTTCATGGACATTTGAAGTATTATTTTTCCATTGATATTTAGGGCATACGTTTTTTCTCTATTAACCACAATTCTTATTTTGCAACATTGCACAAGATAGAGTACAGATATCAAACAATTTTATAATAAATATGCACATAATCACATGTCGGTAATTTCTTATGGCTGATGGGTTATGTTTTAGGGATATCAGCGTTGAAACTGATCAACTCTACAAAGTCACCTATTAGGGGGTTTAAGAGTCTAGGTTAATAGCTTCAAAAAAGGAGCATACAACTGTCATCCCCGCATTTTTTAGAAGCTACAGATGCCATCAGGCAAAGAATCCACACCCACTAAGTACACTGGGTCTCAAGATAGAACAGTATCTAGTGAGATTGATGGTCACAGGGGCTGTTTGCATTAGAGTATTTTTTCCTTTTAGAATCCTTTGTGCATTAATTTAGTTGGGGGTGTGAACTTTTAGAAGGAATGGAATATATTTCAAATTCATGTTTTTTTCGAAAACGGACTTTTAGGGCTAGAATTATGCTTTTTTAGATGGTAGAATAAAGGATCGGTGTCAAATGATTAATAATACTAATGAAACTGAAGAAAAGTAGCAGCATTTTACATATTAGTGAACCTGATAGAATAAAATGGTTAGACTCTTTTCTTTTTATGAGTTCTTAGATCAGCCGGGAATGGTGTTAGTGCCCTTTCTTCAGCTGTATGCTACTTTTCATGCATAAGTAATCATCACAATAAGGATTTGGTAATGGCTGTAAGAAAAAAGTTCTTCCTAAAGCTAAAGCTGCTTTTTAAATTTTTTTTTCTGGCTAAGTTAACGGACTTCTTGAAATGGTATTGTGGTTAAAGTGAACTTAATTTTATTAGACATATGGTGAGCAAAATTTCTTATGTTGTCATATGGCCAATAAATGCAATATTTTATCTGAGGAATTTTTGGCTAAGTTCATTAAAAAGTTATGATAAAGTAAAATGGATTGCTTATATTTTGAATTAGTCTCATATACTTCTGAAGACCTACTGGTATATTAAAAATGAATTATTGAAATCTATATCCTATGACCTGTATACCTTTTTATCCAGTTGGTAACTTTATGACAGACTCTGAAGAAGGCGCAGAACACTTTAGGGTTATAGGTGGTTATTCTTTATCAGAGAGGCTTTGTTTATTTTTTTGTTTTACTGTCTTTGTGACATTTGAAATCCTTATCATAGGACAAATAGGTAGGGGAAGTTACTGTCATAACTTCAAGTTAGTGCAACTGAATTAAAAAATAACTATTTTAAAAAATAAATGAAGAGGTATTAAAAAGGTACACACTTAAAATTTTGTTGGTATATGGTAATTTTTTTGTGAGGTCTCAGTGACTCATTATAATGTTATCTCCTTGTCTAGGTGATTGTTGGTATTATTACAATGAATATTAATGAGCTGCTCATTTCATCTAATTAAAAATTCTAGACTTGAGAAGTTAACATTATTTTAACATTTCATTCCTGAAATAAGTAACAGTTTTTATTTTACCTTGAAATGTAAGGGAAAAAAATGAGGAAATATTAGTCATTAGTGACAGTTTTTCTTATATAGTGTTTATAAGCACCTACTTTCTGAAATAATTTAAGAGACTGAATCATATCACCTGGGTAAAGTCTAAGTAATGAATTTAGTACATGTTTTATAGGTAAGTAGATTATATGGATTAAATAGATACACTTTCACAGAACTTTCAAGCAGAATGGAAGTTACTTTTAATTTATGTTTCATTGAGGTGGAAGATTTTAATTTTCAGGAAATTAATGATTATGATAGAATAGAACAGTCATAGTTTGAAGGTGTAGAAATGTTGAT